ATATGCAAACCATTTTGGTTGGAAAACAAGGATTTGGAAGATATTTTAAAAATAATGGATAAAGAAATGACTGCTTCTTTAAATGGGGACTCAAAACTCAGGCCAAAAATGCTTAGTACATTTATACATAACGTTCCAACAGTAAAAGGTATGATTTAAAAATCATTAAATTAAAGAAACCGGGAAATATTTAGCTCTTGATTTGGGTGGAACAAATTACAGGGTTTTGCTAGTGACTTTTGATAAGCCAAATACGGAACCCATCATAGAGGAAACTTCATATATCATCCCAAATGAATTAATGCAGACAGAAACAAAGAAAGTAAATCTGCTTATAAAAATTGCTTTCAGCTTTTTAAATTTATTGCAAGTACACTTGATGATTTCGTGCAAGTTAGAGGGCTGAATGCCGAATGCATTGATTTGGGATTTACTTTTTCTTTTCCTTGTCAACAAAAGAAATTGGATTCAGCAATATTACTTTCTTGGACAAAAGGGTTTAACCTTACGGATGGACCTGGTATAGATATTGTTAAAGTTCTTCAGGAATCTCTTAACGAACAGGTATGTGCAGCTCACTTACCCCTTACTATTGATGCAACTTTAGCTAAGAAAATCACCTTATAGTTGCCATGACTGCTATTATTTAGTAAATCACATTATATTAGATAATAAAAATGCCCGATATTCTCCTAGGAATTTTAAACACCGTTTTTCTTCATCTTACATTCTAAATCCATTCATTAATATATTGGTTTTATCGTTTTTTATCATTTATATTCCATTTCTTATAGTGCCTTTCCGTTAGCTCTTGTTTTTCTATAACATAGTTATAGCTAGATAATTTCTTAGAATCTATGATCTACTATGAAATATAAGAAATAAATAAAATTTATTTCCTGAATAACTTGTTATTTCTAGGCACAAATTAAATTGAGCATATTTCAAACTATTTCTTGAAGTAAGAGTGTAAATTATGTAAACGAATGGCGGAGAATACCATTCAAAGGATTTCCTATAAATAAATTGGCTCGTTTCTGAATGCATCTTTGCTTCAAATATCTTATCCCCACAACAATATAAAATAAGAAATATGAATATTTTAGATACGAAGAGAAACTTGATTTAGATGAATCTCCTAAGATATCATTGTTGAAGGGACTTTCGTTTTTTAATAAAAGTGGATGAACAAAAGATTCGTTTGTCAATCTCACCTGTTGAGGACGGATGAAACTCGTTGTACTGCAGCCGTTTGGCTTTTATACGATATTCATGTTGACGCAGTCTACGAGACTTCCTCCCT